TTTTCTCTATTAAATTACCTTTGTATATTTGTGAAGAACCAGTTCTCCATGTATGGGTGGATTTATTTGTAATCCATTGTTTCCTTGCTCTATTTACTTTTAATGTTCAAAGTTCTCTGAAAATACTATACATATGTACATGATATGTCTTTTCACGTGGATCTATCATGTTTTTACATTTGAATTATATAACTTCTAGGCAATATATAATTGGGTTCTAGTTTTTAAATTTTAGTTAACTGCTTTCTGCCTTCTAATTAGAAAAATAACCCACTTGTATTTAATGTGATAATCGAAAGGTTGAAAAAAACTCATCTTGCTCTTTTTTTATTTGTTCAATCTGTTTTCTTCACATTTCCAATTTTTTATCGTAGTTTGGATTACCTAATTTTTTATGATTTATTTGGTCTATAGTACTCTTTAATTTTTGTGCATGTGGTATGCATAACTTTGAGATCTACAGTTGTATTTTGGGGCTAATACTATCCCTATTTAATTAAGCTTTTTATTATTAATTGTATATTTGTGTTATATTAACTGATTTCTACCTATTACAAAATCCTACAAAAACATAGCATAATAGAAACCGGGAAATTGGCATTGATGTAGTCAATATAGAAAGATGCTTTTCCCTCTGACTTCCACATGCACTCCTTGACATGTGAGCATGTTACATTGACTTCATCCCACTTTCTTGTTTGCCTTACTAATTCACCTTCTCCAACAGTCACTAGGCTAATCTTTATAATTTGGTCATTTAAAGTGTTACATAAATAGACTTATATAGGTATGAAGTTTCAGGATCAAAATATTTTCACCAAGATCTCCAAAGATTTATTCAGGTTGAGATATTTATATATAGGAAATATATAACCTTTCCTAAATTCCTAATAAGCTTTTACGGAATGGATTGCCCTTCTTCATTTAACTACTTATCTAGGGAGGAGATTTGTCTTCTTTACAGTTTGGGGATGGTCTTAGTTTCTTTCCCTGTTGCTATGATGAAATACTTTGATGAAAGCAAAATGAAGTAAAGGTTTATGGGGTTCACAGTTCACTGATGGCTATAGTCTTTCACAGCAGGGAAATCTCAGTGGTTGGAGCTTGAGTAACTGGTCACATCACTTGTGAGAAAGCAAACGTAATGTTGGAGCTGCTGCTCAGTTCCCTTTCTTCATTTATACAGTCCTGGATCCTAGTCAGGGAATAGTGTCACCCACAGTGGGTGCATCTTCCCACCTCAACCAATGTGATCAAGATAATGCCCCAGAAACATTATCGGACACTAACCATAGTGTAGATAATCCCTCAGAGGTATTCATGGAGGCCTACTTCCCAGGTGATTCTAGATTCTGCTAATTTGACAACACTATCACAGGGTTATTTTAATTTATTGCTGTTATAAACATTTGTGTATAGGTGTTTGTGTGAATGCAATTATAATCTTTTTCTTATAAAATTTTTTCTTCACTTCAGAAAATATGAGTCAAATAGTAGTATCATCTTAAGTACATTTTTTTTCTTAAAATACCTCATTGTTTTCTAGGGGGGTTGTATCACTTTATATCCTGAACAGTAATGCATTCATTATTCTCTTTTCTGCATCTTTTCCATTCTTACAGGTACTGTGATATTATATTGTAGTCGAATACAAATTTTCAAAAAATAAGTAATAATACTTAATTGCATTTGAACATACTTTTCAAATAATGTTTCTTCGTGCATTTGTCCAATTCAGAATGTTTTGCTAGTAAGTATTGAGAACTCTTTAAATATTCTATTTTCTTATGTATTCACAACTATCTATTGATTATCATGTATCTTTAATTATATATCTGTTTATCTAATTAGAAAATATTTTCTCTAATGTGTATGTTGACTTTAATAGTTTTAATGGGAATTTATTTTTAATTTTTACTTATTTAATTTTTTACATATATGAGTGTTTTGTTTGCTAGCATATAACTATACCCATGTGTGCAATGCTCATAACACCCAGAACAGAGCATTGGACTCCCTGGAACTGGAGTTATAGACAGTTGTTATTCAGCATGTGGGTGCTGGGAACCAAACCCAGGTCTTCTGCAAGAGCAGCCAGTGCTCTTAACCACTGAGTCATTTCTCCCCCAGTTAATGGGAAATATTATAGTAAAAATGTTTTACAAACAATTTTGGATCCTTTCTCACTATATTGTCCTGGCTACCCTTGAGTTTATGATCTTCCTGCCTCAGCCTCCTCAGTACTGAGATTACTTGAGTATGCTCAGTTCTTTTCCTTTCTTTTCTTTCTTTTCCTTTTTTTACATTTTTGTTCGTTGGGACTGTAGCCTAGGACCTTTCACATACAAGGGAAGTGGTGCATCACTGAAACACATTTCTAATCTCCCAATTTCTCTGACACTAATTAGTGGGATGTTGAGGTTTTTTGTCATAACTCAGAGAGTAGAAATCTACATTGTACTCCTTTGCTGGCCTCGCTGTCTTGGACCAGAATTTTTTGTGTAATCTTTGGCCAGAATACAGCAGTTACTGTCTAAAAGGTGTCTCTCTGATTCCCTTTTTCTTGACTTCTAGGGTTGAAAGAGGTGACTTTATGGGAGAAGTTTTGTCTGAACCTGTTGGTGTTTTTGAGATGCAGTTTCTATACCTCCGTATTCAGGATATATGAAAAAGAAAATCCTGGGTACCAATTCTTACATCCCTTAGATTCTGAGTGCCAAAACCCATTTGCTTCTGCCTCTTTCTACTGTCAGAGTCTTGTGTTGTTTAATATGTAGAGCCCAGGGCTTGATTATATATAAAACAAGGCTGAATGTTTTTCATGAATCAATTATCTTTATGAATGTGAAGTGTTGATAGATGATAAACATTCAAATATTCTGAAGTCATTGAATTTCATATTCATATTTCTCTCTATATATATATAACATTTACAGATGCTCTATTGCAGGATAAACATTGCTATCAGAAGAAATTATGAAAACAAACCCCCATGTATTAAGAGAACAATGTGTGAAGATAGTCAGGGCGACTTAAAATACTACTACAATTTGCCATGGATCTGAGTCTTTTTACTCATTGTCTTTGAGTCTTTCTACTAATATAATCAATGCTTTAAATCCACTGCATATCAAATTCTAAGACCTCAATTGCTCCTTAGTTTCCCTCTTGAGGAAGTTGTCAAAGCTACCGGAATTTGTTTGACACTATCTATTTCACCATAGTCCATCAATTTTTTGGTCCATCTATTTTACCAATTCATATTATTTCATTTTTCGTGTTCAATGTACTTTCACCCCTTGTATCTCTTCTTTCTTGCTTTCAAAAATTACAGAAGTTTGCAATGTGTGGAAAGGTAAAACTGCTGGGATTTTCTGCTAGGCTTTGACATTATTTGGACTGGATGCTTTAGCTTCACCAAGATCCCACCTCCTTTACTGCTTTCTGATGCTTCTGACTATTTATGTGCCTGATAGAACAGCAGTTTTGAGTCAAGACAAAAGAATCTCTTGAAGGAAAAGTAATAATAAACATGAAACCATAATAACCAGTTTCTACTAATTATTTCTAAACAACTAGGTGGAACTGAAGACTCTTTTTTTAAAAGTAAAACTCAGGAAAGTGTCTCCACAAAGCATAAAACAAAAGGCCAGGGAGATGCTTCTTTGAAATTCTTAAGAGAAAAGTTTTCGATTATCACCAGGAAGTCAACACATATCTGAGCTCCCAGAGTGATCATCACATGTGTAAGAGATGGCCTGCTCAATGGCTTACAGGTCATAAGGCCATCAAAGACTCTCTAAAGAAACTTCAGCAATGAAGTTATTAGGAAACCTTTAACTTCCTCTATGTTTTCTCTGAAAG